GGCACGTGACGCGCGGCAGGGGGGAGAGTAGCTGACGCGCGGATCGGGTCAGGGGGGTACCTGACGCGCGGCAGGGCAAATAGGAGCTAACGCCGCGCAGAAGGGCTGACGCGCGGATCGGGATTAGGGAGTACCTGACGCTCAGGCTAGGGCGCACCTGACGCGCGGATACCTGGCGCGCGGAAGGGAGGATAGCAGCTCACGCCGGATGGGGATGGGGGTACCTGACGCGCGCAAGGGGGATAGTAGCTGACGCGCGGATGGGGATGGGGGGGTACCTGACGCGCGGAAGAGGGGATAATAGATCGGGTCAGGCGGTACCTGACACGCGGAAGGGCGAGTAGCAGTTGACGACGCACGGAAGGGCTCACGAAGGTGGGATAGTAACTGACGTGCGAATCGGGTCAGGGGGGACGCGCGCCAAAGCGAATAGCAGCTGATGGAAGGGCTGACGCGCGGATCAGGATTGGGGGGTACCTAACGCTCACGCTAGGGCGCACCTGACGCGCGGAAGGGAGGATAGTAGCTCACGCGCGGATGGGGATGGGGGGTACCTGACGCGCGGAAGGAGATGGGAGGCACCTGACGCGCGGAAGAGGGGATAGTAGAGTGGTCAGGCGGTACCTGACACGCGGCAGGGCGAATAGCAGCTGAGAACGAGGCCTGACGAAGGTGGGATAGTAGCTGACGTGCGGATCGGGGCGCCTGCCGCGCGGAAGGGGGGGATAGTAGCTGCCGCACGGATCGGGTCAGGGGGTACCTGACGCACGGCAGGGCGAATAGCGGCTGACGCCGCGCGGACGGGCTGACGGGCGGATTGGGCTTAGGGGGTACCTGACGCTGACGCTCCCTGACGCGCGGAAGGGAGGATAGTAGGCTATGGGGTAGTAGTAGCTGACGCGCGGATGGGGATGGGGGGTACCTGACGCGCGGAAGAGGGGATAGTAGATCGGGTCAGGCGGCACCTAACACGCGGCAGGGCGAATAGCAGCTGACGACGCACGGAAGGGATAGTAGCTGACGTGCGGATCGGGGCACCTGACGCGCGGAAGGGGGGAGAGTAGCCGACGCGCGGAGGGTGCCCTAACGCCGCGCGGAAGGGCTGACGCGGGGATCGGGATTGGAGGGGGTACCTGACGCGCGGAAGAGGGGATAGTAGATCGCGGGTCAGGCGGTACCTGACACGCGGCAAGGCGAATAGAGAAGCTGACGACGTGCGGAAGGGCTGACGAAGGTGGGATAGTACTCGGCGCCTGACGCGCGGAAGGGGGGAGAGTAGCTGACGCGCGGATCGGGTCAGGGGGTGATTGACGCGCGGCAGTGCGAATAGCAGCTGACGCCGCGCGGAAAGGCTGACGCGCGGATCGGGAGTGGTGGATACCACGCTCACGCTAGGGCGCACCTGCTGACGCGCGGATGGGGGTGGGGGGTACCTGACGCGCGGAAGGGATATAGTAGCTGACGCACGGATGAGGATGGTTGTTACCTAATGCGCGGAAGGAAAATAGTAGCTCACGTGCGCCTGGGAGTAGGGGGGGAAATGACGCGCGGAAGAGGGGAGGTGAGGGGGTGCCTGACGCGGACGCGCGGCAGGGCGAATAGCAGCTGCGGAAAGGCTGACGCGCGGACCGGGAGTGGGGGGCGCCTAACGCATACCTAACGCGCGGAAGGCCGGGAGGATGGTAGCTGACGCGCGGATGGGGATGGGGGGTACCAGACGCGCGGAAGGATAGTAACTAACGCGCGGATGGGGATGGGGGGTACCTGACGCGCAGCAGGAAAATAGTAGCTAACGCGCGGGCTAGGGTACCTAATGGAAAAATTAGAAATGTAGGAAGCTGCAAAATTAAACATCTCTTCAAAAAAACAATTCCGAAATTAAAAAAACTAGCGGGCTACAAATTAAAATTTTAAATAAGAAACCTATTCTAGAATAATCTAATTTCGCTATACAAATATCCTAACCCAACCAATATCATTAATATAAAAATGCATAAATTAGGCCCCGAAATCAAACACACAACCGACCCTATAACAAAACAACCCAAAATCAACCATTTCCAATTCAAAAGTTCATAAAACCCTCGTCAAACCCAAACAAAACCCTAATACAACCACTAAAAACACCTTAAACATACCCTAATAAAAGCCTAATAAAATCCCGAAAAACTCCGCTCGTAAAACCTTACCTCAAAATTGTCCCGAATCACCCAGGAACCTATCTAAACTAAGACCCCCATTAAGAATTTTCAGATCGTCAAAATGTCTATTCTTAACAAATATATAAATATAGAATTCTAAATAAATCGTTTTGCAACGAAAACTATGAACTATAACGATTCACTCTTATCAAAAAATTATATGTTCAATAAAATAATAAGCAAAAAGAATTATAACTACAATAACATCATAATCTCTAAGAAATTAACCAATCCAAGTGTTTTCTCTAGTTATCATAGAAATATCCCGATCAATATTTCGTTATTTCTTCCTCAACATCTGCGCCGTACCTCACGTAAAGCCTTTCTAAATTATTTCAGTTAACATCATACTAACGCTCATTAAAACCAGCAGCAGCAGCTCTTCTAAAATTAACCTGCAGAGGAAAAACAACACACACACACACACACAAAACACATCAAATACGAAATGCGGCCCTAATGTTTGGCGGCTTCGCTGCGGGCTTCATCTGCGTATTTATGTGGTTTTCATGATATCAAACATGTTGTCAATGGTTGTTAAGCATGCAGCCGATTGTCCCCAGCTTTCGAATTCCATAGTGTACAAGCCTTCACAAGGTGCAAAGGCCAAAGGCGAGCCTCCAAAAGCCTGTGGGGCCATGGTCAGGCTCAAGTTTCCTCAACTCCACAACTTTACATCGGATGTCCCAAGTCGCTGTTGAGGAGCCTGAAGTGAAAGGCAGACGCACAGGCCATTGTGAAAAACAGCGAAGATGCTGCCACTAGCAATCTTGTTCGGGTTGGTACAAGGAATGACTATTCCTATTCACCCTCTTGATGATGCTCTGTGGAAAGTTTTTGACCATGGTGCGCATTTCCTTGCTCTGGAAACTTTCCCAGAGACATGTTAAGATGGGCCACGGATCATGCACGATCTCTGTCACAGCCGATCTGTATATATATATATATATGAATAGCTTATAATGTCTATCTATTTATCTGTCTGTTTATCGTTTATCTATCTATGTATTTATCTCTCTATCTATCTGTCTATCTGTTTATTTATCTATCTATCTATCTATCTATCTATCTATGTCTTTTTCTTTCTATTTATATATCTCTCTGTCTCTCTTTCTCTCTCTATCTCTCTCTCTCTCTCTATCTATCTATCTCTCTCTCGCTCTATCTATCTATCTATCTCTCTATCTCTTTATCTCTCTTTCTCTGTCTATTTATCTATCTATCTTGCTCTCTCTCTCTCTCTCTATCGATCTATCTACCTATCTATCTATCTCTTTCTTTCTCTATCTCGCTCTGTCTACTACTTTCGGACTTAAAAGTTGCGATTTTCGAGCCGGCTGCGAAAGTGGACTTCACGTACTACTTTCGTACTTAAAAGTTGCGATTTTCAAGCCCCAGCTGCGAAAGTGTACTACTTTCGTACTTAAAAGTTGCGATTTTCGAGCCCAAAGTGGATTTCGCGTACTACTTTCGCACTTAAAATTTGCGATTTTCAAGCCCGGCTGCGAAAGTGGACTTCGCGCACGACTTTCGTACTTAAAAGTTGCGATTTTCAAGCCCCAGCTGCGAAAGTGGACTTCGCGTACTACTTTCGCACTTAAAAGTTGCGATTTTCGAGCCCCGGCTGCGAAAGTGCTGCGCCTGCCACAAAATCTGTACTTGACCTTGCGAAAGTGATGCGCCTGCCACGAATTTTGCACTTGACCTTGCGAAAGTGCTGCACCTGCCACGAATTCTGCACTTGACCTTGCGAAAGTGATGCGCCTGCCAGGAATTGTGCACTTGACCTTGCGAAAGTGCTGCACCTGCCACGAAATATGTACATGACCTTGTGAAAGCGCTGCGCCTGCCACGAGATCTGTGCTTGACCTTGCGAAAGTGCTGCGCCTGCCACGAAATATTTACTTGACCTTGCGAAAGTGCTGCACCTGCCACGAAATATGCACTTGACCTTGCGAAAGTGCGCGCCTGCCACGATCTGCACCTGAGCTTTCGAAAGTGTTGCGCCTGCCACGCAACTCAAACCTTGAGAAAAGTTGACCTTGCGAAAGTGCTGCGCCTGCCACGAAGTCTGCACCCGACCTCACCAAAATGCTGCGCCTGCCACGCAATTCAATCCTTGCGAAACCTCTGCGTTGCCGTGCCAATGGTCCCGGCGCCGCCCCCGTCCTGTGACCGTCCCGAGACCGTCCCGAGACCGTCCCGCACCCGTCATCCATCAGACGCCGCGACTGAGGTAGCTTTCAGCCAGCTCCACACCACCAAGCCCGCAGAGGGTTGCTCCTTTTCGCAAATTCTATTCCCCAGCCACACACACACGTATGTTTTCTCTCGCGCGCCTTTCATTCTTTCTTCTTCCTTCCCTGCACCATCTAGCTTTCAATTAGTTTCCGTAACTCGGAAGTTTCCTTCTAAACTTCCTTTGATTACACCCTCCAAGGGTGGCTTTTCCATACCCAAAATTTGGCAAGAGAGGTACAAAATGGCAACCAGAAGCCAGGGTGGAAAAACACCTAGGCTGAGGTTCCCTACCCGAGTTTTGTCGGGTGGCAAATTCTGTTCTATATGGGTGCGGTTGAAAATTAAAGAGCTAGGGCAAACCGCAGGTCTTACGTCGTCTTCCACTTGCCAGGGTTCCATTTTGGACACCTATGTTTGACAACCACATGTAAAAAAATGGATAGAATTTGGTATATGTTTTTTTTACTTTGTATGTCCCTATTTTTGGATACATGGATAATATGTTGGTCCGCCGTGGAATCGTTTTTCCACTTCGCTCCCTTCGCACCTCGCGCCCAGGCGCGCCGTTGCGGCTGGCGCAGCGCTGCAGCGCGGCAGAGAAGACCCGCCGCGAGCAGCAGCGCCTTTGATCCGAAGGGTCAGGTTGTTGGCTCCACAGGGGGCCCCTTTTTCCCGAAAGTCACCGGAGGTAGGGGACATGAACTAGGTTCCCCCAGCTAGGCCCTTTCTCACCCGTTTCTTCTTTGGGGGAGGGTTCCCCCACTAAAATATACTACAGAAAACAGGGTACCCTTATTCGAACTTCTCTACTGGAGGACCTAGTATAAGTTTGTTTTTCGTTTTTGTCCCCAGTTTTATTCATATATATATATATATATACATAGACCTATAAGGGTTTTTTGTTGGGGGGGGAGTTAGACATAAAGTGTGAAACTGGCGTGTTTACCCTCTCATATGACGTATATGTTTGTTCGGGTCCCGAAAATCCATCGATTTGCTGTTTCCAGATGGAACATGAGGTTGAAGGCTGAGACCCGAACCGGAGACAAATCCACATATTGGGTTCGGTTCGGGGTCAAAATGCGGTTTGACCTCCCAAAATGGTGGTGGTGTTCCGGCTTTGCTTTTGGTTTTGCTTTTGAAGCCAGGTACCAATAGAAACGCAGACGTCATATGATGTTGATTCCCGGGTATCCCTTTAACGTAAGTCATTCAGCAAGCTGTAGAGTCAACCCTCAGAATCCCTTTGTATTTTTGTATCTTTCAGAGGTCCCTCCTCCAAAAGTGGCAATGGACACCCAAGGAAACGGACTCGGGAAGCCTCGGGAAGCCTCGGCGGCCCGAGCGCCGAATCGAGGTTGGCCGCACGGCTGCCCAGCGGCGCTGCGGCTTTGGGCGTGGGCGCGTCTTTGGACGGCGCTCCGATTCCGACTCGAAGTTCCGAAGTCGGGGGTGGGTCTACTGCGGATGGTTGCGAAATCCTCTTGGAAACGATGGGAAACCATTGTATGTTGGTATTTACAGGGGAATCGAATCAGACACCAGGGTTTCTTAGGTGGGTGTGGCTCAAAATTAAACAGGAGGGGGGTTGCGCAGATTTTGGTTCCATTGTGGTACCGGTTTTTTGAGCCACAGCCAGGTGGGGCAGGATTAGGTGCCCCAGCAATTGGTGCCCGGGCTCTCACCCGTTTTTCGTTTTTGGGAGGAAGCCCCCTACCTAACGTAGACTACCGACAAGGAGCTGGCACCAACTTATTTCTAGCGTCTCTACTGGAGGACCTAGTCTGCTGTGGATGGGGCCCCGAAATCCAGTTCGCAGCAGCTAAGCCAGCCTGATGCCGACATTGGTTTCCCATGGTTTCAAAGTGGTGCAGGATTTCGTCCACAGTATGAGGGAAAACCAGGTATCGGGGACACGTGCTTGTGCTGGGCCCCGGATAGAAAACTCTTGGGCTTCGTCAGGGAAAGAAGGAAGAACCACCCAAAATGGGGGTGTCCTCCCTGTGAAACAAACCATGTCCAGGCCTCTCTCGTCCTGTTTTCGCAATGTCCTTAACGTGGCTCTGTGTGCCCTGCTGTTGGTGAGATGTGCGTTGAAAGGTGGCAGCCCAAGAAGGGTCGCCTTTGTGGTCTACCCTCGGTACATGCTAAAACAGTGGTGTTGAATGAAGTGGTTGGTTTCATGCGAGTTTCTTGTAAATATGGATCGCGGAAGGATTTGCAAGTGTTGACATGCAGCCACAAGCAGTTTCCATTTCTTCAAGTCTTCCCCCTATATGAGCTGCGAGGTGCATTTTGAACACGAAGGCGTCTTCAAACGCCCTACCGGTAAGCCGACTGGCAAGACGTTCAGCAAATTTGGCGGGGGGTCAAAGTGTTTGACCTTTAGCAAACTGATGATATTTTCCCGAGTCCAGCAACAACTTGGATTTGAGCGTTTGCCAACCGAGGCCCGGTTTTCGCCCTCCCTTGTTTTGAATATCTGGGGGCCCTGCAGGTACATTCCTGCGGTTCTTCGTGCGCTTGCCTGGCCAGCCAGACCAGGATCGAGGGGCAGAGCTCGTTTGAGCCACAATCAAAACTGATTCGGGTAGATGAGCTAGGTCCCCCAGGATCGTGCCCTTTTACCGTTTCTTTTTTGGGGAGGGTTCCCCTACTAAAATAGACAGAAAAAAAGGGTACCCTTAGTCTAACCTCTCTACTAGAGGACCTAGTGAGGTTAGTGAGGGACCATCCCAGCCAGAAATGGGTGTGGATATCCGCCTTGGCTTCCTTTTCCGGTGGAGTTTTCTCTGGTTGTTTTTTTCCGTCCGGAGGTCTTTGGGGCCCTTGGGCAAGTGCCCTCCGCTTGGCACCGTGTAGCGACCCAAAAGGCGGAGCGTAAGGGAGCCGCGCTCGGAGCTGGGGGGTCCAAATTCGCTTTTTTGAAGGGGGAGCTATGCATGGTTGTTACATCTTTGCTTTTAGTGGTTGAAATCCAAATCCACTTAACTGCTAAATTTGATTGTTTACTCCCCTTCCAACGTCAACCAAGTATGGAGCCACCAGGAGATCTGCA